TTCTCTGTTCCCCTTCTGTTCTTATACCCACATCATCCCCACTCCAAGTCACCCCTGCTCTCTCCTCAAGTTAAGGTACAGTAGGACACTTGTCCCATCAGCCTGCAGCTTTTAGCGGGAAAAATATCTCCAGATGACACTTAGGGTTCTGTTCAGTCTTCACCTCAGCACCTTTGGGCAGGATAATACCTGTGGACAAGGTCCCAGAAGACTGTCTTGCACAATGATGTGATTTTTGACCCCATTTGGAAGCAGTAGGTGAGGATCCAGGAGAGGGGGGAGCAGGAAGGCTGAGGATGTGCAGCTGCCACCCCGTGTGCCCAAGGTCTGCACGTGGGTGAATGTGAGGGAGCAGAGGTGGCTCAGGGTGGATGAGGATGTGCCATGGGAATATAAAGCCTGGATGGTGGGTCCCAGAAATCTTTTGGGAACAGGCCCATTACACAAAGTGCTGGAAAGTCGGTGAATGTTGTCTCTGGAACTAGAAGTGAAGGGCAGTTTTGAGGGCAGCCTCAGTCTATGGGAGAGGCTGAGCTGCCTCTCAGAGCTGCTGTAAATCTGAGTAATTGCATGAGCTGAGCATGAGAAGAAACTACGCCCCAGGTCTTGGATTGTTTGAAGGCAGCTCTGTCTACCTTGACATCTGGAGGAATGCATCCCAGGGATGGGGGAGGGATGGGGAGCAAAGGGAGCAGAGTCAGTCCTCCCCTTCCTTCTCTCCTTCCCCAGGACTCCAGTCTAGCACTATCCTGGAGGTGGGTAAAAAATGAGCCCAGCTATTTTTTGCTGCAGGCTATGACTTTCCACGATGTTGTAGCTGGAAATCCTGGGGCCCTCTGATGTTGGTGAGGGCCTGTGCTGCTGGAGGAAAAGGAGCTGCTGAATTTACATCAGTGTCGTGTCTCCTGGGCTGTGTGGTCAGGGGAGTGAACTGGAGCAGGCTGAGGATGGGAGACCTTCTCCTTGCTGAGCCCTTGTGCAGGCTACTGAGCCCACAGGTAATGCCCCTGCCTAGAATCACAGTCACAGAGCACCCTGAGCTGGAAAGGACCCCCAAGGACCATCCAGTCCAACCCCTGGCCCTGCACAGACACCCCAACAATCCCACCCTGTCCCTCAGAGCATTGGCCAAACCCTCCTGGAGCTCTGGCAGCCTTGGGGCCGTGCCCACTGCCCTGGGGAGCCTGGTCAGTGCCAACCACCCTCTGGGGGAAGAACCTTTTCCTGAGATCCAACCTGATCCTGCCCTGGCACAGCTCCAACTGTTCCCTGGGTCCTGTCACTGGTCACCAGTGAGAAGAGATTGGAGCCTCACTCCCCACACCCCAGAGCTACTCCCACCCCAGCCCTGCCCTGCCAGCAGGGAAGTGTAACAGTCCAGCACAGCCAACACAACACAGGAGGAGCTCTAAACCATATTTACTGCTTCTTTACCCAGCTCCAGGTCACAGCACTCCTTGGCAGTGGTGCTGCCAAGGTAGGGATGGATGAGACAGATCTCAGCCTCTCTTGCATCTTGAGTTGTTGCCTGCACTCAGAGTGGGTGTGGGATCTGTGCTGGATCTGGCACTGGCATGGCCAGGACTGGCTGTCCAAGGCCATGAGGCTCCACAGGTCCCCAGGAGCCCTCTCTGTGCCCAAACAGATGCAAGAGAGGCTCTGCTCAGCCCTGGGGCTGCAGGGCAGGGGTGCCAGGTCTGGAATGCCCCACACCCCTTCTGAGACAGCCCAACCCAGGGGATCAGGAAAGCATTTTCCCTTGATTACTCTGAGGATGTTGGGCTGGAGTGCAGGAAATTAAAGTACTGGGGAGGGATGAAGTGGAACAGGACAAACATCCCGATGGGAAGCTGGGCTGGGCTTTGCTGGGCTGGGGCTGAGTTTGGAGTGGGCTTTGCTGGGCTGGGGCTGAGCTTGGCTGGTGCAGGGGCTGAGAAAAGGCAGGGCAGCTGGCTGGAGGCAGGGCAGACAGGAGGGCTGGAGCGGTGCCTGCGGAGCAGCCTGGTGGGGATTCAATCCGGGAAGTTTTAATGACACAACAACAACAACAACAAAAGAGGAAAATGGGGAAAGGAAGAAAAGGCTCCTGCAGGGCTGGTTGCCACGGAGACCCCAAGGAAGTTTGAACCAGTCCTGCTCTTTTCACAGCCGCCTTTGAGCCAAGGAGGGAATTATGGCTGGCGATAAAAGGGGACATGTGGCCCTTTGCTCACAGGGAACGGCCTCTGCAGTTACGAGTCTTCAGCTCATTTTCCCCCCTTGTCCCCTCCTGCAACTATACATTCAGATCTCAGGGGAAAAAAAAGGGGGAAAAAAAATCTAGGACAAGTTGTGCTCCCTGTGCCCTGGAGACCATCCCCTCAGGGCAGGACCAGCCTCTTCCAGCCCATTATTCCCCCACAACTCACCACCCCCAGTTCCTCTGTAGTCATGGAATTGTTACTTGTTCAGAGCTGACAAACAGCTCACACCAACCCTGGCACCCAAACAGCCCCCACGATGAAGGGGGGTTGGACACCTCTTCCAGGGGAGCTGGAGACAGTTTTCCTGCCTGCCACAGCTCCTGGGTTTTTGGGAGGGATCTGGCTGACCAAGTGCCAGGAACTGAAATGAAAGGGATATATCCAGCCCTGTGCTGCCTCCTCTGATTCCTCCAGTGGCAGATGCATAACACAAGTCCCAAAGTTGTGTTGTACAGCTCAGATTGTGCTCTTGGGTCTCCCCCAGGGTGGGGTTGGAGCTGGGGACTTGCACTCCCAGTCCACAGTGTGATGTGCTGCCAAAGGTCCTGCTCGGGCCCCTTTGGTGCTGTACACACTAGATAAAAAGGCAAAGGGAAGGCAGAGGTGGCAGCAAGAGAAATGAGTCTCCTGCAGGGGTAGGACAGCACTGGGAGCAGAGCATAGCTCAGCTTGCAGCTCTCACCCCATGGCCAGGTGGGCTCACCTGCTTATCAGAGACCAATTCTCTTTTTTCATGTGTTGTTGGGGGTACTCAGGTCTTCTTGGATCTTTGGTGGTGAGCTCTGAAAGAGCAGGAATGGCTGGGACATGGGGTGGTGACCGAGGCTGGGCCCTGCTCACCCTCCCAACCTTTAGAACTTTGCTCCAGAGCCCCTTTCCCACTCCTGTGCTGAGGTGTTGGATTCTGTGACAGGGGTGAGGCAGACGGATAGAGGGAGAGCCCAGGCCAGGGTGCACAACCTGCTCTGGTTCTCACCCTCTGAGAGCAGAGCCAGGCCCTGAGTGGGGCTGGAGGGTCCAAGTGCCAGTTCAGACATGGGCCCTGCCTGCTCACCTGGAGCTCCTGGTGTCTGTCAGTGTCCCATTCCCAGGGAGAGCCTCCCTGCTCAGGAAGAACTGGCCTTCAAGGAAGGGAGGTTGATATCCTTGAATGAAGAGCAGCTGCATCAATGGACACCCACTCGGACAAGTGTTTGCAGGCAGGATTTTGCCTGTCTTTGCCAGATTTTCCTGTTCTGGGCAGCTCTGTCTCCTGTTCCCAATGCTGCTCCCTGGACACACATCCCATCCTCCTGCCACCCAACCAGGACTTTATTTGTCAGCTCCATGGTCCCGCTTTGCAGAGCAGCTGATAATTCCCAGGCTCTGTCACTCCTGCAGTGCCTTCCCTGCTGTCTGTAGACAAAAATAAAGGAACTTGCACCCCTCAGACTGTGTGAACATCATCTTTCCATCATGTAGCTTGATAAGTGGGCCACCCTTGGAGGTCTTACTGCTGGGGGAAGCTGGAGCTAAAAACATACCAGAGCTTCACTTTTGATCCCTGTAATTCCATTTCTGTTCCATAACAAGAAAAAAAAAACCCAGCTGGAACATCCCCCAGTCAGTGTGGTCTTCTCTGTACTCACCCCACAGTGTTCCCCACCCCTCAGAGAGGCTGAGGGCTCCCCAGGTGGGGGTTCCTCAGGTGAGGGTTCCTCAGGTGTGGGCTCCTCAGGTGGGGGTTCCTCAGGTGTGGGCTCCTCAGGTGGTGGTTCCTCAGGTGTGGGCTCCTCAGGTGGGGGTTCCTCAGGTGTGGGCTCCTCAGGTGGGGGTTCCTCAGGTGTGGGCTCCTCAGGTGGGAGTTCCTCAGGCCCTCCTTGGCCACTGCTCTGGCTTAAATTTCTCTGTCACTGTGTCATCACAACCACATGTTCCCCTCATGGAGTTACCCTCCCAGTTATCCTGGTGTCCTGTTTGTGGGGTAAGTGGTGACAGCTGTAAAAATAACCTTTTTTGGGGAGCAATCTCTGTTTACATCAGTGCCACCTTTATCTGTTGCTCCTTTTGATTTATCACGTTTTTGATGGAAAGTGAACACGGAAACCAGCAGGTTGTCTGTGTATTGGAGCAGGATCACTGTCTCTGTGATCACAAGGGTGAATGTTTGTGAATCAGAACTGGCATGTGCAGCACCTTTTGTCTTGCTCACACTTTTGCAACCAGTGGCTGATTCTCAATTACTGGCGTTTCTCAAAAAACATCCTTTTTTTTTCCAGGAAAACTGTCCTAAAACGCAGTGCAGGTGATGCAGAACCTGCTGCCGACCTGCAGGGCACCTGCCTCCCTGCCGTGCTTCCCGTGGGCTGGGGGATAAGCACGAGAGGATGGAGAGCTCGGAGTGTGGGACACAGTGCCATCCAGCGGAGTGCCACGTGGATCACGGAATCACACACGGTTTGGTTGGAAGGGACCTTGAAGCCCATCCAGTCCCACTCCCTGCCCTGGGCAGGGACACCTTCCACCAGCCCAGGTTGCTCCAAGCCCTGTCCAACCTGGCCTTGGACACTTCCAGGGATCCAGGGGCAGCCACAGCTTCTCTGGGCAACCTGTGCCACGTCCATTTGTGGTGTGGGTGGAAGCTCTGGGTCACTGGTGCTTTCCTGGTCCCACCACAGCCAAACCTGGGCTGTTCAGCAAAGCACAGGTAGAGATTCTATCCCTGCAAACACCTTCCCAGGGCCTGGCAGTGCCCATCACTGACTGGGGTGTCCCAGCTGTGAAGATGTAGGAGGACAACTATTCCAGAAGAACCATCCACAGAGGGCTAGCCCATTGCATCCCATCTCCCTCAGCTGTCTGAGATGGAACTGCTCCAGGTGATGGGGAGGGAGCAAAATCCAAGTTACCAGTCACTTCTGTGGTCGTGTTACTGAGGAGTGATGGGAGGTGTCCCCACAGCCTTCACACCTCACCTCAGGAGCTCAGGGCAAGAAAAGGGCTCCAAGAGCAGCAGGGTGAGCCCACGGGGCAGGGGAAAATAGCGAATACCTTTCCCAAGTGTTTGGAAAGGATTTTTTTTCCCTGGCAAAGCCCCTCCGTGAGCGATCCTTGGGGGCACAGTACCACCTGCTGGCAACGCGGCGGCAGCGAAGGGAGGGATGGACACGGGGAAACCCAGCCCTGGCAGCTTGGTTTTATCCAGGATCAGAGCAGGACTCACGTCTGCTCTTAATTCAGCCCAGTTTTGTATGTTTAGGTTGCAAATTTAGACCTCAAAGTCGAGCCATCCCTGCGAGGGGGAGATTTCCCCTCGGACAGTCCGAGTTGCTAATTCAGGCTGTGATGTTTTTCCCTCTGCAGAAGGAAGGAATGTAAATCCCCCAAGAGAGCCCAGCTTGCCAAATCTGCATGGAGGGTTTATATTGGTAGATTTTAATCACTTTTTCCTTGGTTTTTTTTTACTAAGCTGTAGCTTAAATATTAATGTTTTTAACCCCTGCCTTCTTCTTCATCGAAGTGTGCATTATACACTTCCTCCCTTCCCTCTCAGCCCAAATTTATTTCTGTTCTGTTCTTTTTTATTCCTCTCAGCACAGTGTTTTGCCTCTAAGTCTCCCAGGCTCTCCCCCACTCCAATTTATTTGCTGAAGAAATAGCAGATGATCGATTTGAGACTGTTAGTAGTTCATTCCTGCTCTCAGAACCCTCAAGTCTGGCATCCACATCCACTTTGTTTCCCCTTAATCACTTCCTTGCTCCTGTGGGTGGCTGTTTGTCCTCTCAGAGCAGTGTCTGCAGTGTGCAGCTCATGGCAAAAGGGAGCTCAGAGCACTCAGCACTGGCCCACACACTGTGGCCAGGAAACTGTGGCTTAAAGCAAACCCAGAGGATTCAAAACACAACTCCCCAAAGTATTTGTGGGTTCAAAAATGATCCAGGACTCGGTCCCGCTCTTGGGATGCTGGTTGAGGATGGGTAAGGGGCAGGACAGTCCCTGCTTGGCTGCACTCCCTGGATTTTGTTTTCCTAGGCCTGACTCATCCATCAGAACGCCCCTGACTGATGAGCTGTGTGTTCAGTGCCTTGGGAATAACAATTTGTTCACACTGGCCAGACCATCAGCACCTGGGAGAAAGCACAGCTGGGAGAAAGGACAATGTGGGCTGGAACTCCACACTGTGGGTGAGGCTCAGCTCACCCAAGCTCAGCTGGGAGCTCGGCTGGCAGTGCAGGGCTCAGGCTGAGCAGGGGCTCACACCCAGCCCCTGCTGTGGCTGCAGGTTCTCGGGAAGCTCCCTGAGGTGGTGGGAGCTCAGGGAACAGCACTGACAGAAGGAGAGGCTGCTCTCCACGTCTCTTCTGCCTCTGCCAAGGGCTGTGTGTCCATCCATCCATCCATGCATCCATCTATCCCTCCCTCCCTCCCTCCCACCTGGGATGGGCTCAGGGCCCACAGAGCTCTCCATGGATCAGATCGCTGAGGATGCAGAACTGTGCAGAACAGGGTGTAACACAGTGCTCAGGGCTGATGCTGGGAGCAGAGGGGGGATGAAGAAAGGAAGGGGAGCAGCAGTGGGCTCTCAGACAGGCTCAGTTTGTCAGCGGTCCTTGATTCCCCAGAACCCAGCAGCTCTACATGGACTGACTATTAATTGTGATCAACAGTCCTTTTCCATCCATCCAAGAGACCTCTTTGGAAGCCTCTCTGAGCTGTTGGCCCTTTCCTAGGACCTCAGCAAGACTGACATGGCACGACCAGGATGGGTGATCTCCCCTCTGTTCTCCTGTTTCCTCCAGGGTGCAAGGACTATCTTGACCCTGCTCTTCAGTCCTGTCTTGAGCAATCACAGGATGGTTTGGGTTGGAAGGGACCTTTGAGGGCCAACCTATTCCAACCCCTCTTCCATGGGCAGGGACACCTTCCACTAGCCCAGGTTGCTCCAAGCCCCATCCAACCTGGCCTTGGACACTTCCAGGGCTGGGGCAGCCACAGCTTCTCTGAGCAACCTGTGCCAGGGCCTCAGCACCCTTGTACTAAAAAAATTTTTCCATATATATAATCTGAATCTACCCTCTTTTAGTGTAAAACCATTACCCTAGTCAGACCACAACAGGTCCTACTAATACACAGCTCTGCAGACTCTGCTGACCCCTCATTTTGGCTCTTCATTATAGAATCACAGAATGGTTTGGGTTGGAAGGAGACCATGAAGAACATCTAATCCCAACTCCCTTTCTGTGGGCAGGGACACCTGCTCATGCTCCATGTCAGACCTCAGCCCCACCACCCCCCTGGGTGGCCCAACACACCATTGATGTGGACAAGCAGCACCAACACGGCTCACCTCAAACTGCCCTGAAAACATCTGATTGCTCCACCTCCACCACCCAGCTCCCTGCACAGACATGGACCTTCCACTAGCAAAGGAAGTAGGAAATCCAGGATTCCAGTTTATATCAGGTCCAGACTGGATTTAGGTTGGAAAATGTCCTGCAGTGTGGTGAAGGTGGGGATGCTCCCAGTGCAGTTCACAGCACCCCTCCCACAGCTCCTCTTTGTGGTGAGAGGCAGACCCCGAGGAACATGGATTTCAAGCATACAAGTTACCCTTCAGGTCCTCTGGAGTCTCCTGATGCTTCTACTTCATCCCTGTCCACCCCACTCGAGGGTCCCCGGGGCCATTGGGCCCCTCAGCAGTGTGCCCTGCCCTGGACAAGCTCTGCCCATGGGACAAGTGGGTACATGAGGCTACTTCCCACCCCCACTGGTGACTGTGGATCCCAATGCTGGACCTGTTGCCTCTCCAGACAAAACTACAGTGGGAAATCCCCACCAGGTACTTGGATGTCAGGGAGCAATGGGCATTTCCAGAGGAGTTTCATCGTGTTCCCTCCTGCCTTTCATCTTTCCAAGCTTTGCGTGCTTCTAATCCATGACACGTCCCTTGCTTTCATTTTCGCCATCTTTGTAATTTGATTTTTCTTTTGATCTCTTTCACAATTTCCCCAATTTTCTGTTTAGATTTTGAAATTTGGCTCCCTCCCAGCAGCAACTCCGTGCAAAAGCAGATTCCTTGGGAAAATCACAGGAACAGAATGTGCACGTAACGACTCTTCTCCTGAAAAAATTTCCCAGACACCAAGAATTTGCAGCTTAGGGACTTCCCCAGCCCAAGGCGGTGTTGATGGTTTTAGTAATAGTGTTTTTTTTTTCTTCCATAAATCTACGTGGTTTCTCCTTAAACTGCACGTGAACATTTGGCTTCTGTGACGTGGAGTCACCTGCAGTCCCACAGTTCCTGGTGACAATGTCCTGGTGGTGTGAAGAACAGCATCCAGTGTGGGATTTTATGTTTTATTTGATTTTATTTAATTTGATGCCACAATAATTGTAAGTTCTTGTCCACGCTCTGTGAAACGAAGTGGTCTGGACAAGCACTGTTGTATCAGCATCAGTTGTCCCTTATCCAAACTGAAGGATCCCTACTCCATAGCTTCTTCTCCAGATCCTTTCTCTGTCTCAGATCAAGTTGTCCAAACCTTTCCCTGTTTCATTGCGCCCCTGTTTGAGGTGGGACGGAGGCCGACACATGCCTGGATCTCAAAACATCATGAAATCATGGAATTATTGATTATGCTGAGTTGGAAGGGACCCATCAGGATCATCGAGTCCAACTCCTGGCCCTGCACAGGACCCCCCAAAATCCCACCATGTGCCCAAGAGTGTCGCGGGTCAGTGAAGCTGCAGAGCAGTGCTGGGGTCAAGAAGCAGAGCAGTGCTCCAGAACATCACCTGGGATGAGCTGAGGACTGGCTTAGTCCTCAGCCTACAGCTGGTGGAAGGAGCACCATTTTCACAGTGGGACACGGGAGGTCTGTTGGATGATGGGAGGCTGTCTGTGGTCTGGATTTCTACATCTGAGATAATTAATCAGCTTCCCTTCCTTGATAATGAGTTTCTAATGTACAACAAGTGCTTAATTAAGCACAGCCTTCTATAAAAATATCACCTCAAATCTACTGGGTGGTCATCATGGAGAACAGAACATCAGGAATTCTGGCTGGACCCCAAAACAGGAAGCACCTGTGGAATACCTGCCATCCCGCTCTCCTCATTGACACTGAAGATCCAGGAGAACCAGAGCAGGTGCTGGGAATGTGATGAGGGTGATCCAAGGTACTGAGTGATGGGAGCACTGAAGGAGGGCTGGGAATCCTCAGCTGGAGCCCTGGGCTCTGTCCAAAGGACGAGTGCAGTTCTTACTCCAGCAGTTGCCAAGCTGGTTGTAATTCCCAACAGGCACGGAAAGGATCCCTCACAGCCCGGGCACACTCGGCACATGCCATGGCCTGGGGTCACCCTGCTGGGACAGGGAAGGAGAGGCTTGTGCAGTGTGCTGGCCAAAGGCACATCGGCAGCAGTCCCTGTGACAATGCCAGTGACAGCCAGACTCTGAGCACGTGGGGATCTCTGTCCAGGATAGGGATGTATGGATTAATTTACAACTTGGATCAGTGGGGTGGGGTTTGCAAAGCTCCTTGCTGGGAAAGTGGGAGGATTTTTCCCAATACACGTGATCAATATCAGAGTGTCAGAAATTCCTACACAGCCAAACTCCAGCATATTGAAGCACTGAGTGGGAAGGTTTCTTCAACTTCCATGAATCCCTCAAAATAATTTTCTCTGAAATCTCACAATATGCCTCACAAAATGCCTCTTTTTTGTGAATCAGATAAAGTCAGGTGGCAAGTGAAATTCAATTAGAAGGTCCTTGAAATGCCATATATAAAACCCTACATAAGCTATAGGTATGAAATAACTACTGAGACAGGGACTTGTCCAAATGGCTACAGGACAGTGAATAGGGCAATGAGC